GCACGTAAAAAAAAAAAAGGAAGTATAAAAATAGGAACCTCCTTTGGTGAGAAGGTAACAGTGTTCCATGCACCTTCGGCATTTAGTCATGCCGTCCATATGACCACGGAGACGTCTTTGGATCGCGCTGACTCATCGGCTTTGAAATGGAGATGAGCACTGCCCCCTAGAGTTGGGAACGACTAGCACATATGTTCAAGGGGGGAGCCTTTACCTTTACCTAACATAACAAGTTTTTTGGAAAATGAGGCTTTGCTGTCCCAGTAATAATGAGATCATTTTTCTTCCTCTTCAAAGCTTCCCACCTCTTCATGGCATTCAGAAATGTGTGTATTCTCAATCTTTAACACCGATAGGCTATATCCCTGCATACATTCATAACATATACCCTGTATACACTAATAATAGATAACATACCAAAAGACTGAAGTGCACGTGTGCAGCCTCTTAAAAGATCAGTTACAGAAGCAGGAAAGGGACAATGTTCAATATTGAAGGACAACAGTATCAGGAGGATGGGTGGTGAGTGTATCATGTGCGTTAGGAATAAGTCACATATCATACAGACAAGATAAATGTGATTGGACAGGTTGATTCTGGGATTTAGATTATGCAATTAGAAACTTCTAGCTTCTCAAGGAAATGCATTTTTTTTCAACCTTATTTTCTTCCTGCATGACCATTTCTCTTTTTTTTAGCTGGTGGTGGGTAACTTTAATGTCATATTTATGTGAGAAAATATTTTGATGGGCCTAGGATGAAATTAGCATTATGTTTCCTACTGTATGTGTTTTTAGAATTGTTGGAGGCATTGAATTTCTTTGCCTATAATACAAGATGTCTACTGCAGCATTTATTCAGGATTAAAGGACAAAAATAATCCTGTTTATTCCGTCCATATCTTAGCTGTCAAATATTGGCATCCTAATATTTTTGCTGCTAGCCCAATATGAAATATTTCTTCCTAGGCTTTCCTTATGATTCATATAATTGTTCAATGCTACGCTGAAATTGCCATTATGAAAAAGACTTGCCCTTTTTCATCCTTTGTAGGTTTTCACATCATATGATCCCAGGTCCTCCAGGACCCCACACAACTGGAATCCCTCATCCTGCAATTGTAACACCTCAAGTCAAACAAGAACATCCACACACAGACAGTGACTTAATGCACGTGTGAGTAGGACTTTCCCAAGTCTTTTAACAATCCTTAATCTGCGTTCCCTGGGAATCAAGTGGACGTGGCAATAGTTGTGATGAATGGCTTTTCCCCCTGCTTATCCTTATGTTGGATATGTGCCTAAGTTATGAATACAGCCTTGTATTTTCTGTAACTTTAACAGGCCTGGGCATTTTACAGCCCCCTGGTCCAGGCATGAAATGCTCTTATCTTCTCTACCGGTTCGGTAGTGGGAGTGCATGCACCCACGCACTTGCAGTGCTCACATCTGGGCATGCACAGAACCATCTGCACATGCGCAGAGAGTGTATGATAATGTCAGGGTGGGTGGGCGGAGCCTAGCGCTGCCACCACTACCAGTTTGCCCGAACTGATGCGAACCGGCAGAATGCCACCTTTACCCTAGCCATATATGGCTCTTTGGCTATCCCTGTCTGTCCAATGTGAGATCAATCAATAATTAGAAATCAAATTTAAATAAGTGTACTCCCTGTACACAATTCAACTGCATTGCTTTTATTTTGAAGGCAGCTGTTACATTTTTTTTCCAATTTACATATGTGCATGGATGTGTGCTGAGGCACCTTCCCAGCCCTATTAGTTTGGCCCCTCACAGCATCCCAATTTCTCATGTAGCCCCTTGGGAAAATTAATTGCCCTCTCCTGAGCTTGGATATTGGAGCTGTTTACACTGAGGTAACTCATTTAGTATCAGGTTAAATCAAAGCCTTTCTGGTGTTCTGATTTTAATATGATCCAACCTAGATGTGCATTGTGAAATGGGTTATGGATTATCAAAACTTATCTATCTCACATTAACATGGAGAAATAAAAATATTTGAATAATTGCGAATATGTTTCCTTTGGATGGAGGCGATACTTGTAGATTCTCTTTCTGATTTTATATCCTCAGTTCTAACAAAGGAGTCTAGTTTAAACATATCATATTTCAAGGAAAATAGGCATTTTATTAAAATACACAATTAGGTACAAATTAAATATATTCGATTCCCAGTAAGGGTATGGCTAGCTGATGAGAGCTAAATAGCATGAAATAGATCTATGCTAGTCTTCCTTTATTTATTTATCAGCACAAATCCAACACAAATGTAACAAAGGCAACATAGAAAAATGGCTTTCTTCCTGGATGGCTCCTAGGGTGAACCGAAAGACAGAAAAGGAAAGCAGTATGGGATGGGTTAGTGCTGGGGTGGATGGGTAGGTGCAGCTACTGGTCAGAACTACTGGTTCACCTGAATCGGATCAAATCAACAGCAGCCCACCTCTGTCTTTAAAATATTGGGTTTTGTTCTAATTCTCATATTACAGGAAATTCTACTCTCCAACACCTCTGACTATTGATCCTTGCATTGCTAATTATTAGTTTAACCACAAGTTACTCTTAAACAGCCATGTACTACTAGAAGTGTGCATAACATATAGCCAGAGAAATTCAAAAACATCTGGAAATATTTGTGTGTGCCACTGTTAAGAAGCTCTAAGGCTTCTTAACAAATGACAGAGGGAAATACTTCTAGATCAGGGGTCTCCAACCTCAGCAACTTTATGCCTGGCGACCTTCAACTCCCAGAATTCTTGCTGGCTGGGGAATTCTGGGAGTTGAAGTCCACTTAAAGTTGCCGAGGTTGGAGACTCCTGATCTAGATAAGAATGAAAGGTTATTTTTTGCTTTCCCCTTTCTTTCTCTTTATGCCTGAACACTGAAATAACCTAGGGAATATTGCTCTGAAGAAATGAGGAGATATCTGTTGATCACCTGAAATGCAGTATAAAATATCCCTTAAAAACGAGCATGGTATCAATTGTACTCTTCCATATGTTCTCTTTCCTCCTGTTACTTTTAGGAAGCCTCAGCATGAACAGAGGAAAGAACAAGAGCCCAAAAGACCTCACATTAAGAAACCTCTGAACGCTTTCATGTTATACATGAAAGAGATGAGAGCGAATGTTGTAGCAGAATGTACTCTGAAAGAAAGTGCAGCCATCAACCAGATCCTCGGCAGAAGGGTATGAGGAAATCTGTTTTTGCGTATATGCATGTTGTGTGTTCAGACTATACAGTATTTAACTCACCCACTGTGTTCCATTAGTCTTAGGTTTGCCTCCTCTAGAGTTGTTGGGTTCCAATTATCCCAATTGTTGCTCAGTGGCTAAGACGCTGAGCTTGTTGATCAGAAAGTTTGGCAGTTTGGCTTTTTGAATCCCTAGTGCCGTGTAACGGAGTGAGCTCCTGTTACTTGTCCCAGCTTCTGCCAACCTAGCAGTTTGAAAGCATGTAAAATGCAAAGAAAAATAAGAACCACCTTTGGTGGGAAGGTAACAGCGTTCCATGCGCCTTCGGCGTTTAGTCATGCTGGCCACATGACCATGGAGATGTCTTCAGACAGCACTGGCTCTTCAGCTTGAAACGGAGATGAGCATCGCCCTCTAGAGTCGGGAACGACTAGTACATATGTGCAAGGGGAACCTTTACCTTTACCTTTGATTAGACTTTATCTAGGATTTCTCTCCCTTATTTATTCACAAATTGACTACAACTAGTCCTTGACTTACAACCACAATTCAGCCTAATATTTCCATTGCTAATCCAGACACTTGTTAAGTGAGTTGGGCCTCATTTTACAAACTTTTTTGCCATTGTTGCTAAGGGAATCACTGCAGTCACTAAGTGAATCTGGTTTCCTCCGTTGACTCTGCTTGTTGGAAGCCAGGAGTGAAGGTTACAAATGGTGATCCCCTGACCCAATGTGCTGCCCCATTGATTCACACACACCACAGTGAATGAGAAGTCTTTATTCAAACCCCCAGCAGTTCTGAGGTAGCCAAAACAAAGAGCAGATTCAGTCACCAAGCCCAGCGGGACTTGGGCGGCACAAGAGTTCCCAGTCAGAAGCAGTTCACTAAGCATGATACACTGTCCCAAGAGCCAGCCCAAGATTCAAACACACAGGAAGCAGGAATATGGAACAAGGCACATTTTTCCAGCAAAGCTCATCTCTTAGCATGGGATTAAATAGGTGACGCTGGGACAGACATTCACAGTGAGTGAGGCTGCCTCCTCAAGAGTAACCTGGCCAATTGGCAATGTGCCTGTTGCCTTTTTACCCTGTGCATCCTTGGATGGGTGGGTGGGTGGAAGTTTGGCCTCTACCCCACCCCCCATCCCTTCTAACTGCAGGCATCTGCTCCTATTCTTTACCTGAAGTCTCCAGGCTAACCTGATGCAGCTGTGGCTCTCTCTGTTCCAGCTTTGCTAGCTGCCAAACTGGTTGCTCCTTCTGCGGCTGCTGTGTTGNGCTCATGTGGATAGGTATAAAAAGATCCTTGTTTATACAGAATTAACTGTAAATGCAGTTCTTTGAATGCTATACATTCTCATAGCTTGTCCAATGTTTCCTCTATTTTTTTTTCAGTGTGTGCGGAAAAGTATAGTGTTTGAGTGACACATTTTCATGCCTGAGCACCTAAATTTCTTTTAGCCATAATTGCCATCAGAGCAGATTTTGGGGAGGGGGGCAAGAAGGAAAAGGGTTCCCTCCCTCTCCCTCAGACCCCCAAGAAGGAAGGAAGGGAAGGGAGGAAGAGGGAAAGGAAAGGATGAAGAAGGGAGGGAAAGGGAAGGGAAAAGAAAAAAGAAGGGAAAGGGAAATAAGGAAAGGAAAAGAGAAAGGAAAGGAAAAAGGAAAGGAAGAAAGAAGGACAGAAAGGGAAAGGAAAGAGTGGAATGGATTGGTACTGCTCAAAAATCAAGTCTCAAGATTCCGTGGACTCCTTTGGCTCAGACAGTCCAACTCCATGCTGCTTCCCTCTCTCCGCAAAGCGAAGGGATTGCAGAAAGATTGCTGAGCCCAGAATGGGCCTTCAGATGATGCAATGTCTGAGAAATGTAGGATGTGCAGAGAAATGCAGGCTACAACCAGCGAATCGCATTTTCACAGGAACCAACGAAGCGCCAGAGGACCAATGGGAATTCTCCCTTCTGCAGTGTCATCATATTTTAAGACATTAAAAAACACTGCGCGGCAGTTGGAAACTGCTGCACAGCGTTTTCTTGTTACGTGCGCGGCCGCGCAGCTTAGAGGGAACATTGAGCTGTTATTTGTTCTGGCTCTGTTATGGTGGCCTTTCATTTATTTATATCCCATCTTTATTGTTTTTATAAAGAAGGTGCTGAGCACATCTAATACTCCTTCATCTTCCTATTTTCTCCACAGCAACAACCCTTGGTAGGAACCATGGCAATGTTTGTGTACACCTGGTTAGCATTCTCACCAAGCAAATCTGTAAACACAAGTGTATAATTCTTGTGTGAGCATTCATATATGACTACTCAAAGTACTATAATTATAGATACCTAACATAGCAAGGGTGCGCGGTGGCTCAGTGGCTAAGATGCTGAGCTTGTTGATTGAAAGGTTGGTAGTTTGGCAGTTTGAATCCCTAGTGTCGCATAATGGGATGAGCTCCCATTACTTCTCCCAGCTTCTGCCAACCTTGCAGTTCGAAAGCACGTAAAAAAAAAAAGGAAGTATAAAAATAGGAACCTCCTTTGGTGAGAAGGTAACAGCGTCCCGTGCACCTTCGGCATTTAGTCATGCCGTCCATATGACCACGGAGACGTCTTTGGATCATGCTGACTCTTCGGCTTTGAAATG